CCCGGGGGCCCCCCGGGGGCCCCCGGGCCCCCGCGGAGGTCGATCTGGAGCCCGGTTTGGCGGTCTCCCTGGGGGCCCCCGAAGACCCCCCGAAGCGTCAAGAGAGAGGGCGAGGCCCTGACGGAGAAGACCTTTTTGGCGACAACTCGGAAGAGACAAGGCCCGATTTTGCGGACTTTTGCGGCGAAGTCCGCGACGGGGCCCAGCGCAGCCAGCGGGGCCGGCAGGGGACACAAGTCCCCCCGGGCCTGCTGCAGCAGGAACTCCCTGTCATCTGGCAGCGGGCAGCGCAGCAGCAGCGCGTCTATGGCCCCCGGGGCCTCCTCTCTAGCAGCAAAGACGGGCTGCTGCTGCCCCAGCTGCGGGGGGTGGCAGCTGCAGGTGGGGGGCAGCGGGAGCTGCAGCAGCAGCGGCGCGCGGCGGCGCAGCAGCAGCCGCTGCAGCCAGTGCTGCAGCCGCAGCAGCGGGTTCCGCGGCGCGAAGTGCAGCGCCACGTGCAGCAGCTGCTGCTTCGGAGAACACCAGAGGGCCACAGCCCCCCGCCGCAGCGCCCGCAGCCGGTGGTGCGTCAGCTGCGAGATCAGCAGCACTGACACGGGCCCGAACTGGCCCTGGACTCGCTGCGAGCAGGCCTCGAAGGGCACCAGGTGCTGCAGCAGCTGCAGCGGGGCGGCGGGGAGGCCCGTCACCAGCCCCCGCCGCTGCTGCTGCTGCTGCTGCTGCTGCTGCTGCTGCGGCAGCAGCGCGAAGTCGCTCGAGCCCGCTTCGGTCGTCAGACTCAGCGAGGAGACTGTCTCCAACTCCAACGCTCCCCCGCGACGAAGACCCAACAGGCCCAGCGGGTACGAAGACCCTCCCACGCTCCCGCTCTCCTCCGCTGCTGCTGCTGCTGCTGCTGCTGCTGCTGCTGCGGGGGGGGGAGACGCCTCCAACGGCTCTCCCCCGACGCCCAAACCTTCTCCTGCTGCTGCTGCTGCTGCTGCTGCTCCGCCTTCGCCGTCCTCGGCAGCCCCTGCTGCTGCTGCTGCTGCTGCTGCTCCCTCCGCCCCCAACGACTCTGCTGCTGCAAACTCTGCTGCTGCCGCTCCGCCCTCCTCACCTGCTCCAGCGCCCGCTGCGGAGCCCCCAGCTCCACCCGCTTCCGCTGCTGCAGCTTCTGCTGCGGCAGCTTCTGCTGCGGCAGCTTCTGCTGCTGCAGCTTCTGCTGCGGCAGCCTCTGCTGCAGCAGCTTCTGCTGCAGCAGCTTTCGCCGCGGCAGCTTCTGCTGCAGCAGCTTCTGCTGCAGCAGCTTCTGCTGCAGCAGCCTCTGCTGCAGTAGCTTCTGCTGCGGCAGCTTCCGCTGCGGCAGACTCTGCGGCTGCAGCCTCTGCTGAGGCCCCTTCTGCTGCTGCTGCTGCGGCTGCCCTTTCCGACGCCTCGGCTTCGGCTTTTGCTGCTGCCGCTGCCGCCGCTGCTGCCTCTTCAGCCTCTGCTGCCGCTGCTGCTGCTGCTGCTGCCGCTGCTGCTTCGGCTCTCGCTGCTTCTAGTTCTGAAGCCTTTGCCTCTGCGAGCGCTGCTGCTTGCGCGGCGGCCTCCGCTGCTGCTGCGTCTGCGTCAGCGCGCTGTTTGGGGGGCCCCGGCAGCACCGTTTGCTGCTGCTGCTGCTGCTGCTGCTGCTGCTGCTGCTGCTGCTGCTGGGCAGCAAAGGACTTTTCGGTGGCAATTTCGACGACGCGCCGCACAGCAGCGTCCAAGACAGAGGGGGGGAAGAGAGGCACTTCAGCGAGTTCTGCTGCCAACTCGAGAATGGGCCTTTGCCGGCTCTGCGCGTCTGGGCCATCGGGGGGCCCCCTCTCGCCGCCCTCGCTGTGGGGCCGCAGCCCGTAGGGGCTGCTGCTGCTGCTGCTGCTGCTGCTGCGGCCCTCGCGCCCCAGCCTACGGACGACAGCCTCTGCAGATGCGGCCTGGGGGAACTTGGCCGCCAGAAGCGCCGCAGGCAGCCACAAAAGGGCTCGCCGGAGCCGCGAAATCTTCATATCCAGAGCCTGAGGGCGGCAGCAGCGGAACCTGTGGAGGACCGGCCAGCACACGATCTGCAGCAGCAGCCCCGATCGCCGCCCGGAAATCAACCTCTCCTGGCTGCTGCTTTATGCAATAATGACCAATTAAAACCAAATGAGCGCGAAATGGGAGAAAAGAAGGCTTAAAGCGGGCTGCGAAGCGCGCAAACCGTCGATTGGCCGTTTCGGGAGAAGCCCAGGACACCGCAGGGCTGCAGGAGTCCACTAGCGGGGAAGCGGCAGGCCTCGAGCTTCCTTTACAAGTTCATTAAAAAGGCCAAAGTATTTAAATTATACTTTTCGTTAAGACTCAGCTGAAGCGACGAAGGTACCTGGACGAAACCTTCCGCGGCTGCCAGCTGGCCGCACCCACCCAGTTCAACTGCTTCAAACCTGAACTGCCTCCGTTTTGAGGAAATCCGCAGCCGATGCCAAATACTTTTGCCTTCAAATGTTTAAACAGTTCTTTTGCGTCATTTTTAGCTCCAATTTGAAGTAATTTGTCGGCGCTTTCCCGGGTGATCGCGCCGCTTCCCGTTTGGCAGCTGCTCAAACCGATGCAGGCCCAATCTGCTACGACCCCAGCTGTGGGGCCAGCGGTTATTCCCGCGTTTTAGCTTTTGAGTTAATGGCATTTAGGCGACTCTCCTCCATTTCAACATTTAGCTTCTCAGCTTTCTTCGTTTAGGCTCGGCGAGGCGCGGCGAGCCGCCTCTCCCGCCGCGAAGGCCGGGTGTACAGACTCGAGAAATGCGCGCCTCTCGCACCACTGCTTGACTGGTCTCGCCACTTTTTTCCAAGTTCTCCAGCGGGCCCAATGGAAGTGGACGGGGAGGGGGGCCCCCTCGAGGGGCCCCCCCCGTCAGGGGCTTTGCAGGTGCTGCCTCGATCCCAGGGAAAGCCCCCTGCCTTCTTCATTTCCAAAGCAGAAGAGTGTCAGTCTTCTTTTCCGCCAAATGTGGAGTTGGCGGTGAAGTTTTTGGAGAAGGGGGTGTCTGTACACCCCAACCATGTGGGGCTGCTCGAACGCCTCGCAGCCGAATACGCAGAGATGGGCAGGGCAGAGGAGGCGAAGCAGCTGCTGCAGAGGGCCATGGAGCTGCAGGTGCAGCCTGCTGCTGCTGTTGCTGCTGCTGCTGCTGCTGTTGCTGCTGCTGCAGTTGCTGCTGCTGCGGTTGCTGCTGCTGCTGCAAGTGGAAGGGGCCCCCGCGGCCGAATTTTCGCGCTTTTGCAGCGGGCTGCGGGCCCCTGCGCCCCGCCTGCTGCTGAGTCTGCTGCTGCGCCGGCTGCTGCTGCTGCTGCTTCTGCTGCAGCTCACTTTTGCTGCTTTTTGTTTTATTCTTTTCTTTTTGCTGCCGCCCGCAGCCAGACTCGGGGCCCCTCAAGTTCCTCCAAATGGCCCAACTCGAAGACGGCGCCGCCAGCCTGCCGCTGTACAACAAGGCCATTGGCATGCTGGAGTCTGCTGCGCGGCTGGGCCCCCGCAGCAGCAGCAGCAGCAGCAGCAGCAGCAGCAGCAGCAAGAGCAGCAGCAGCAGCAGCGCAGCAGCAGAGTTCTCGCAGCAGGAGGCGAGGGCCCACTTGGTGCGGGCCTACGCCTCTGTGGCTGAACTCTATCTCACAGATCTCTGCGGCGAAGCAGAAGCAGCAGCAGCAGCAGCAGCAGCAGTTAACAAGGCTTTGCTGCTGGACCCCGACAGCCCCGACGCGCTGCTCTGCGAGGCCCAGCTCAAGAACGTCAAAGGTCTGCTGCTGCTGCTGCTGCTGCTGCTGCTGCTGCTGCGGTCGTTGCTGGGTCAGCTGCTGTTGCTGCGGTTGCTGCTGCTGCTGCGGTTGTCTCTGCTGCTGCGGCTGCCGCTGGGGTTGCTCTCGCACTGCAGCAGCTGCTGCAGCTGCTGCTGCTGCTGCGCGGCCCGTTCCCGCTGCTGCAGCAAGCTCTGCTGCTGCTGCTGTTGCTGCTGCGCTGCAGAGGACCGCGAGGGCGCAATGGCTGCTGCTGCGCGCCTGCATGCGGTGCTGAAGCGGCTGCAGCAGAAGGCTGCTGCTGGGCTGCTGCTGTGGCAGCGCGGGCCAGAGCGCGCAGCAGCAGCAGCAGCAGCAGCAGCAGCAGCAGCAGCAGCAGCAGGACAAGAAGAGGAAAATGCTTCAATTGAACTCCGAGTCAACGCCGGAAGACTCTTCATAGATTTAGAAATGATTGAGGAGGCCCTTGAAGTGCTCTGCACCTGTCTAGAAGAAAACGAAGACGACGTATGCTGCTGCTGCTGCTGCTGCAGTGGTTGCTGCTGCTGCTGCTGCAGTGATTGCTGCTGCTGCTGCTGCGGTTGATGCTTTTGATGCTGCTGCTGCTGTGGCTGATGCTTTTGATGATGCTGCTGCGGCTGCTGTGGCTGATGCTATTAATGCTGCTGCACGTACTGTCTTGGGTGCTGCTGCTGCTGCTGCAGCAGAACCCAAGACAGTAAGTGCAGCAGCAGCAGCAGTTGCTGCTGCTGCTGTGGTTGGTGTTGCTGCTGCTGGGGCTTGTGAAGCTCTTGCTTCCGTTGCTGCTGCGCCTTGTGCCTCCGTCTGTCCGTTTGGCGCTGCAGCAGCAGCGTCTGCTGCTACTCAAGGCTTAGGGTTTAGGGTTTAGGGTTTAGGGTTTAGGGCTTAGGGTTTGTTGCTGCTGCAGCCCGAGGTCTGGCTGGTGTATTCCTGCGGGCTGTTGAAAGCTAAGGAATTTGACTCTTGTCTCAGCGCGCTGGATGAGTTGAAAGACGTAAACCCTAAACCCTAATTGCTGCCCCCAAACCCTAAACCCTAATCGCTGCTGCTAAGCCCTAAACGCGGGCTGCCCCCCCGAACCCTAAACCCTAGTTGCTGCCTTCAAACCCTAGTAAATCCTAAACCCTCACTCCTAAACCCTAGTTGTTGTGTCCCAGCAGCAACAGCAGCAGTTCATCAACGCTGAGTTTTGCTGCTGCTGCTGCTTTTGCTGCTGCTGCTGTTGCTGCTGCTGCTGCTGCAGCGGCTCAAGCAATTTGGCTTCCCCAGCGACCACCCAATGGCAGAACAGGAGAAGGAGCTGCGCGAACTGGCGGAGCAGGGCCTCAATGACCCGCAGCAGCAGCAGCAGCAGCAGCAGCAGCAGCAGCAGCAGCAGCAGCAGGATAGCAGCGACAGCAGCCTCTCCTCCGATGACGAGGACGCCTCCTGAAGGCGCTGCCGAACTGGCAAAAATTTTAGTCTTCGTTGGAGTCCACACTTTGGGGTTTAGGGTTTAGGGTTTAGGGTTTGGGCTGGTGAATAGGGGTTAGGGCTTAGGGCTGTTGAGTTAGGGTTTAGGGCTTAGAGTTGCTGAATTAAGGCTTAGGGTTTAGGGTTTGCAGAATTAGGGTTTAGGGTTCAGGCCGCTGAAGTAGGGCCAAGGGTTTATGGCGCACAGATTAGGGTTTTAGCCTTGGGAAACCCCGAACTTGAGCAGCAGCAGGGGAGCTAAGAAATTAGGGTTTAGGGTTTGGGGCTCCCACTGTGTTGAGCAAACCCTAAAACCCTAAACCCTAGATTAGGACCCTGGCTGGCGCGCAGTGTCTGCTGCAGCAGCTGCCCTCATATGGTAGTTGTGTCCTAGGGTTTAGGGTTTAGGGTTTAGGGTTTGGAAGGCATTCGGGAGGTCTACCGCTGCATTTTAGATGAGCGAAGACAAAGATTTGGCGGCGAAGCGACGGGCGTTTGAGGTCTAGGGTTTAGGGTTTAGGCTAGGGTTTAGGGTTTAGGGTTTGGCAGCGCCCGGCGGCTCGCTGCCTTGCTTCTGCGTCTATTGAGCCTTAGATGATCATTTTAATTCTATTTTTTATTATTAATAAATATTTTGAATTAATTTGTCATACAAATCATTAAAACTGGAAAAGAAGAAGTCAAAACAGCAAACGAAAGCTGGGGCTGGGGGCCCCCTCTTGGGGCCCCAGCCCCAATGAGGCCGCTGTTGCTGCTGCTGCTGCTGTTGCTGCTGCTGTTGTTCATCCTTCGTTTATTTTTGGCATTTATTTATTCCTTTTTAGAGGTTGCATGAATTGCTGGCCCTTTTAAAGCCATTTAAGGGTTTAGGGCTCGCGGTTCGGGGCCTGGGCAGAGAGGCTTAGGGTTTAGTGTTTAGGGTTTAGGGTTTAGGGCCTGCCCAGGAGATGCTGAGCTTCGCAGAAGATGAGGATGTCGATAACACTGCGGAGGACGAGCAGCAGCAGCAGCAGCGGCGGCGGCTGCTGCTGGCCCCCAGCAGCAGCAGCAGCAGCAGCAGCAGCAGCGAAGGCTCGTTTGCTGCTCCCGTGTTCCGCCCTCGTCAGCGCGGGCAGCAGCAGCAGCAGCAGCAGCAAATAGGCCCTGCTGCCCGTCCCGCGCTCACCCACAAGCAGTTCCTGCTGCAGCGTGCATCCGAGTTAGCAGCAGCAGCAGCAGAAGCAGAAGCAGAAGCAGCACAAGCACCAGCAGCAGCAGCAGCAACAGCAGCAGCAGCAGCAGGAGACGCAGGGTCGCGCAAGCGAGCGCGGCGCACAGGCTGGAGCGTGAGTGAGGACGGGGCCCCCCAGGGGGCCCCAGGGGGGGCCCCCCAGGGGGCCCCCGGGGGGGCCCCCCAGGGGGCCCCCGGGGGGCCCCCGGGGGCCCCCGGGGGCCCCCCCGCCACCGGGTGGGGGCCCCCCGTGGACCCTGAGGTGCAGCAGGAGCGGCTGCGGGCCATTGAAATGGCTGTGGGGGCCCCCCGAAGCAGCAGCAAAGCAGCAGCAAATAAAGAAGAAGAGGAAGCAGAAAGGACTTTGGAGCGAATGTGGTGAGTTGGCCCGATCCCCAAACCCCAAACCCTAAACCCTAAACCCTAAACCCTAAACCCTCGCGCCCCCTGTCTACAGGTACGACAGAGACGACAGCTCGGGCTTCCAATTCGGAGACATCGACGACGAAGACCCTCGTCTCTTAGAAAAGGAAGAAAGGCTGAAGAGCAAGGGGGGGGCCCCGGGGGCCCCGAGGGGCCCCTCGGGGGGAGGTCTGTGGCGGAAAGACAAAGACAACATGATAATGAACTGTGGGAAAGACTTTTGATGCAGCGGGGGGGGGCGGGGCCCCCCGGGGGGCCCCTCTTGGAGGGTACTGAAGAAGACGAAACTGAAAAAGAACATATTATTTGCAGAAACTTGCTGCCTCCTTTTTTGAAAGATTACAAACCCTCGGAACGAACTATTAGTGTTGTCAAGGACGACACCAGCGACCTCGCTAACCTCGCCAGGCAAGCCAGGGTTTAGGGTTTAGGGTTTAGGGTTTAGGGTTTAGGGTTTAGGGTTTAGGGTTTAGGGTTTGGGTTTTGGGGTTTGTGTCTGTTCTTCGCTGGCTCCCTCGCTTTCTTTGCTGCTGCCGTTTCTTTGTGGCGGACCAGCGAGTCCAGTTGCTGCCGCTGCTGCTGCAGTTGCTGCTGCTGCTGCTGCAGTTGCTGCTGCTGCTGCTGCTGCAGCTTGCGCTTGCCTCCTTGCTTTCCTCGCTGCTGCTGTCATTTCCCTTTCCTCTGAATTGTTTCCGTTTCTTCCTCACTATTATTCTTGAAATATTTGAACTCGGCGAATTGTCGATTGGATTTGTTTCGCTGCTGCTGCTGCTGCTGCTGCTGCTGCTGCTGCTGCTGCTGCTGCTGCTGCAGGAAGGGCAGCGCGTTGCTGCGTTACACCCGAGACGCAACAGACCGTGCTGCAGTGCGGCAGCGGTTTTGGGAGGTTGCGGGTTCGACGCTGGGGAAGCTGATGCAGGGGAGTGCAGCAGCAGCAGCAGCAGAGGAAGCAGCAGCAGCAGCAGCAGCAGCAGCAGCAGCAGCAGCGGGGACGCGGGAGAGCTACGCAGCGGCGTAACAGAGACTGGGAAGGGCTCCGGCGCTGGTTCTGGGTCCAGCAGCAGCAGCAGCAGCAGCAGCAGCAGCAGCAGCAGCAAGAGCATGCAGCAGCAGCGGGAGTCTCTGCCAGTCTTCCAAGTTCGATCTGAGTTTCTCGCACTTTGCAGAGAACACCAAATTTTAATTGTAGTTGGAGAGACAGGCAGCGGGAAGACGACGCAGCTGACGCAGTACCTGCTGGAGGCGGGCTACGCGCGTCCCGCAGCAGCAGCAGCAGCAGCAGCAGCAGCAGCAGCAGAGGCGCACCCCGAAGCAGCAGCAGCAGCAGCAGCAGCAGCAGCAGCAGCGGGAGGCGTGATCGGGTGCACGCAGCCGCGGCGAGTGGCTGCGGTGTCAGTGGCCAAGCGCGTGGCCGAGGAGCTGTCTGTACACCTGGGAGGCCTTGTGGGGTATTCCATTCGCTTCGAAGACTGCACCTCCGCAGACACCCGAATTAAATACATGACAGACGGAGTGCTGCTGCGCGAAAGTCTCGGAGATCCAGACCTCGACAAGTACTCCTGCATCATCATGGACGAGGCCCACGAGAGGTCTGTGCTGCTGCTGCTGCTGCTGCTGCTGCTGCTGCTGCTGCTGCTGCTGCTGCTGCTGCTGCTGCTGCTGCGAGAGCGCCGCCTGCCTGCTGCTGCTGCTGCGGGTGCGGCGAGGGGGTCACCTCACCTCCCGCTGCTGCTGCTGCTGCTGCTGCTGCTGTGGGTGCTGGCGCTAGTTCTGCTGCTGCTGCTGCTGCTGGTGCGGCGAGAGGGTCACCTCACCTCCCGCTGCTGCTGCTGCTGCTGCTGCTGCTGCTGCTGCTGCTGCTGGCAGGTCTCTGAACACGGACATTCTGTTTGGAGTGCTGAAGGGGGTGGTGGCGCGGCGGCGGGACTTCAAGTTGATAGTGACTTCAGCAACGATGGACGCGGAGCGTTTTGCTGCTTTCTTCGGAGGCGCAGCAATTTTTAAAATCCCGGGAAGGACTTTTCCAGTTCAAATTGAGTTTGCGCGGACTCTCCCCGACGACTACGTGGATGCTGCAGTCCAGAAGTGCCTCGCCATCCACTGCAGCACGCCCTGCAAGGGCAGCAGCAGCAGCAGCAGCAGCAGCAGCAGCAGCAGCAGCAGCAGCAGCAGCAGCAGCAGCGGCGAGATCGGGAGCAGCGCGAGCGGGAGCGCGGCCGCTGCTTCGGGCGCCCCCAGCAGCAGCAGCAGCAGCAGCAGCAGCAGCAGCAGCAGCAGCAGCAGCTTGGAGGAGGAGAGTGGGGACATATTGGTATTTATGACCGGCCAAGATGACATAGAAGTCTGCTGCATCTTGCTGGCAGCAAGAGTGGAGCAGCTGGGGCCGCGAGCGCCGCCGCTCACGCTGCTGCCGATCTACTCGCAGCTGGGGGCGGAGCAGCAGGCGAAAGTGTTTGCTGCGAGTCCTTTTCGGAAAGTAATAGTTGCAACAAACATTGCAGAAACTTCTTTGACTTTAGAAGGAGTTAAATACGTCATAGACTCTGGACTTTGCAAAATGAAAGTCTTCAGTGCTGCAGTGGGAATGGATCTGCTGCAGCTCGCGCCGATCTCGCAAGCTGCTGCGCTGCAGCGCAGCGGCCGCGC